GTATGTCAGTTGTAGATGTCGGCTTCAGTGACCCGGCAAATGGAAAGGTGCTGGTCCGCAAAAAAAACCACAGTAGAAGAGTTAAATTTGACCTACCCGCTAAAAACTTTCACGGGAACTACGCATACCTGGGGTGGGTTAGAACTCATTGAGACCTACGTGAACGGGGGACAATTCCTAAAAATTCCAGTTTTCCTGCTCTTTTGGTTCCCAAGTTAGCAGCTTACCCGCCAAAAACATTGGCGGGCCTGTACGGGGGAACCACGCGGATAAGAGCGGCTTTTTATGCGTCTTTGCCGTGCAGCGCTAGAGCGCTGCAACAGGCAGCAAAAACACATATTGCAATGACCCTGTCAATGTGTGTGTATGTGTGTGTGTGCGCGTGTGTGTGTGTGCGAGTGTGTGTGTGTGTGTGTGTGTGTCCGGGTGTTTCAACTCGCCAACCACGCAAGCTTTGAGGTTGAAATTTTGCCAGTGTGTTTCCTAGCCAAGTACCACCCCAGGACCCCAGTATCGACTCTCACGCACGTCCGGGCCCCGCGTACGAGCACGTGGAAGTTTTGACACGAAAATTGATAACTCGGGAACGAGAAAAGCTAGAAAGCAGAAACTTTGGGGGAATGTCCCCTACCTGTGTATGACAAAAATATTTCAAATTCAGCTGCCCAGGACTGCCCGGGGCTTACGTACGGGCACGTGGAAATTATGACGGAAAAATTCGTAACTCGGGAATCAAAAAGCTAGAAAGTTGGAACTTTGAGGGAATGTTCCCTACTCATGTGCGGCCAAAAGTTTTCAAACTCAGCCCCTTAGGACAGCCCGGGGCTCACGTACGGGCACGTGAAAATTGCTAACTCGGGACGCGAAAAGCTAGAAAGCTGAAACTTTAGGGGAATGTTTCCCACACATGTACGACCAAAATCAGGCGATCAAAAACGCCCGGGACCCACGTGCGGGCACGTGGAAATTTTATCAAAAAACACAAAACCTGCGAAGAACTATGAAAAAAACGCATCTTCGTACCGGCAGTCGATGCGCTGGCCATTTCCTGATCTGTGAGGTGCAAAACGCACGCTGGCGAAATAATAAGCATGTTGATGTATTTGTGTCCCATTTTGAAGACAATGATCAAACAGATGAAAAAACGATTTTTTTAGGATGCTAGTCATTTAGTCATTGGCTGCAAAATGATCTAC